GCTGTTCCAATATTTCACCCCCCTGACGGTAAGAAACCTTCGTCTAATTTCAAGCCTAAACTTCCCCACGGCCAGTTTATATCCATTTGTTCTCGTGTCTACATTAGTACTGAGCTGGAATAATTCCTCTCCCTCCCTGGTATTTATCCCTCTGATATATTTAAAGAGAGCAATCATATCCCGCCTCAGCCTTCGTTTGGTCAGGCTAAACAACCCGAGCTCCCCGAGTCTCCTTTCATACGACAGGTTTTCCATTCCTCTGATCATCCTAGTGGCCCTTCTCTGTACCTGTTCCAGTTTGAGTTCATCTTTTTCAAACATGGGAGACCAGAACTGCACACAGTACTCCAAATGAGGTCTCACCAGCGCCTTATACAACAGAAGCAGCACCTCCTTATCCCTATTAGATATACCTCGCCTAATGCATCCCAAGACCGCATTGGCTTTTTTCACCGCCACGTCACATTGTCGACTCATAGTCATCCTCCGGTCTACCAGGACCCCGAGGTCTCTCTCCTCCTCCTAACTAAGCCAATTTCTTCTTGTCCTACCCTTGGTGGACATAGGCACCAACTGATCACACTCCTCTTTATAACAACCTTTTGCATATTTGCAGATTGTTATCATGTCCCCCATCACCCATCTCTTTTCTGCACAAAACATGCCCAATTCTTTCAACCTTTTCTCACAGGTCATGTTTTCTAAACCTCTGATCATTTCTGTTGCTCTTCTCTGGACTGTACCATTTGTCCTCATCCTTCCTGAAGCGCAGCACCCAAACCTGGACACGGTTCTCCCACACTGAGTAGAGAACAGTCACCTCCCATCTCTGACCCACCCCACTCCTGGTCAAGGTGATCCCGGTGCGGTGGGAGCCGGAGATTGCCGCCAGCATGGCCACAAACATGGCCCATCAGTCCTAATGGGCATAGAGCCTGGAGACCAGGGAGCCCTACTTTAGCCTCCGGGCCCTGAAGGTGGTTCTTTTACTATGTTTTTTTAATTTGGGGTATATGTTTAAATTGAGTTTCTATTAAAGTGTCTTAAAAAAGTTTCCATGCAGCTTGTAGAGATTTCACTTTCGGCACTGTACCTTTTAATTTCTCCTTAACTAACGTTCTCATTTTTGTGTAGTTCCCCTTTCTGAAATTAAATGTTCCCATGGTGGGCAGCTGTAGCATTCCCCCCCACCCAGGGATGGTAAATGTAATTATATTACGGTCACTATTACCAGCAGTTCATCTATATTCACCTCTTGGACAACATCCTGTGTTCCACTTAGGACTAAATCAATAATTGCTTCTCCCCTGGTGGGTTCCAGGACCAGCTGCTCCAAGAAACATTTAAGGTGTCAAGAAAGTTTCTCTCTGGATCACGCCCTAGGTGACAGGTACCCAGTCAATAATGGGCTAGTTGAAATCCCCCATTATTATTGAGTTTTTATGGATATAGCCTCTCTAACCTTCCTGAGCATTTCACAGTCCCTATCACCATCCTGGTCAGGTGGTCAGTAGTATATCCCTACTGCTAGATTATTATTATTATTCGAGCATGGAATTACTATCCATAGAGATTCCATCATAAAGTTTGGTTCATTTAAGATTTTTACTTCGTTTGACTCAATGCTTTCTAGTGCCACTCCCCCACCAGCATGATCTGTTCTGTCCTTGCGATATATTTTGTACCCTGGTATTCCTGTGTCCGATGGATTATCCTCATTCCACCAAGTTTGTATGATGCCTATTTTATCCATAGCCTCATTTAATACAACACACTCTAGTTCACCTATGTTATTATTTAGACGTCTAGCATTGGTATATGAGCACTGTAAAAACTTGTCACTTTTTACCTCTCTGCCATTACATGATGTAACTGAATGGGATCATTTTCATTTGACTGTTTCTCATCCGATTCTACCTGTATTTTATCATCTTCCATCCTCACATGTCAGCTTTCCATCAGCCCTTAGTTTAAAAACTGCTCTATGAGCTCTTTAATTTTAAGTGCCAGCAATCTGGTTCCACTTTGGTTAAGGTGGAGCCCATCCTTCCTGTAGACTCCTTTCCCAAAAGGTTCCCCAGTTCCGAATAAATTTACCCCCCTCCTCCCTACACCATCATTTCATCAATGCATTGAGACTCTGCAGTTCTGCCTAACTGGCCATTCGCCTGGAACTGGAAGCATTTCAAAAAATGCTACCATGGAGGTCCTAGATTTCGATCTCTAACCTAGCAGCCTAAATTTGGCCTCCCATCCTTCCCTATCTCACT